TTAGCTTGAAAAGGACTTGAATTTTCATTTCACACCGGAACATAAACATTTGAATAAGGGTGAGCAAATGTAGCATTAACTTGTTCAAAGTATTCATTAAATACATGTCCATGGGTACAATTGGAAATAGAATGTAGAACACTAGAACATGTCGTGCAAGGCTCACAAGACCAATAGGAGTGATGAAAAGGAGATGATTTGATAACCGGTTTTTGACTCAATAAAAATCGATTAAGTTTTTGAGAAAGAATTTTGACCTCGGCTACAATCTCCATTGGACTTTCAATTTGACACACTTTCAAATTTCTCTTTTTGTTAATAGAATCATGACTCAACCGAGAAGTGTCGTTATGAACCTCCATAAGATGTATCAACTATATCCTTATGAGTGTCGGATAAGCTTTCATAGAAGTATTGAACCACTTGCCATTTTGAGATGCCATGGCATGGACATTTCCTTAGCAAGTCATTCAATCTTTCCCAAGCCTCATGAAAAAGTTCTCCTTCCCCTTGATAAAATTCTCTAATGGCGGTTCTCATTGAATTGGTCAAACTTACGGGGTAAAATTTTTTCAAAAATTCATTTTGCATTTGTATCCAAGATGTTATCGAATTTGCCCTGAAGTTGTTGAACTAATGCTTTGCCTTATTTTTAAGAGTGAAAGGGAAAAGAAGTAACCTAAGAACTTCTTCCGGGACATTTATATACTTCACGGTGGAGCATATTTCAAGAAATTCATGAAGATGTTGATATGGTTCCTCATCTCTTAAGCCATAGAAAAGTGGACACATTTGAATAGTCTCGAGCTTAATTTCATATTGATCGGCCCCAAAATTAGGAAGCACAATACAAGTTGGTGCATGGTATTCATGAAAATTGTAATGATCACGCAGGATCAATGGAGGAATTAGAGCCTGAACTCTGGGAGGAATTAGAGCCTGAACTCTGGGAGGAAATTGATCAAAAGGAGGGTGAATGCGGGTCTAAGTAACCGAGATTACCCTCCAGATTCTCCATTGGAATGCCTAAGATGAAGGTTAAGGAAAAGATCGCACGACACCCCAAGTAACATACCAACAAGAACAATAAAATCAAGCACTTCTCCTCCGCAACAAATCAATTAACAAACCTCCACATATTATGATCTCATACTCCCATACTTTGAACAATATGCAAGAAAAATTAAATTGTCTCTACGCGGGCTTACGATCTATCTAAGAAAATAAAGACTTACCTCCACACGGGCTCACGATTTAACTAGAGAAAGAGTTTAGAAAAGCTTACAAAGGGTCCTTAAGCAATTTCAAATTAATTTCAATTTTTTCCTAGTTTTGCTTTGTAATTTTTTTTAGATTTTTGCTTTTTATGCTTAGCTTAGCTTGGCTCTTTGCTTTTGCAACTCCCCTTGGCTCCACTCCCCTTGGCTCAATTCACCTAGCCAATCAAGAACAAACACAATAAGTAACCCAAGTAAAATAAAAATAAAAACAGGATCAAAAGAGTACTAATTCCTATATTTCATGTAATACAGTTCTTGCTTGCTTCCTAACATCTGTTATGGACATTTGTCTAATCTTCTTCATTATACTCTCTGCATATGTTTGCTTGTTGTTGTGGTCTCTTGTCTATCATATTGGGATTGAGCTTGGGGTCATTTTTGAATTTGCTACTAAGCCTAAAAAAAGGTTAGCTATATTTCATGTAATGCAGTTCTTGCTTGCTTACTAGCATCTATTATGGATATTTGCCTAATATTCTTCATTATACTCTCTGCATATGCTTACATGCTATTGTCTTCTCTTGTCTGTCATATTGGGATTGAGTTTGGGGTCATTTTCTCAAATTTGAAACTGAGTCTGAAAATAGGTTAGCTATATTTCATTTACTAGTTCTTGCTTCATTCCTAGCAGCTGCTATGGACATTTATCTAATCTTCTTTATTATACTCTCTACATATGCTTGATTACCGTTGTGTTCTCTTGTCTATCATATTGGGATTAAGTTTGGGGTCATTTTCTCAAATTTGAAACTGAGTCTGAAAAAAGGTTAGCTATATTTTATTTACTAGTTCTTGCTTGATTCCTAGCATTTGTTATGGACATTTGTCGAATCTTCTTCATGTGTTTACTTGTACATGTGTTTGGTTATTCTTATGTACTGCAACTGTCATATTGGCATTGAGCTTGAGGTCATTTTCTCAAATTTGAAACTGAGTCTGAAAAAAGATTAGCGATATTTCATTTACTAGTTCTTGCTTGATTCCTACCATCTATTATTTCTATTTGTCTAATCTTCTTCATGTATTTGGTGGCGCATGTGTTTGGTTACTACTGTGTACTGCAACTGTCATATTTGGATTGAGGTTGGGATCATTTTCTCAAATTTACAACTGGGTTCATTGATCCTTTTTTGGAGTGGAGTGGACTGGACTGGACTTGTGACATGTACTTCCCGTTGTCAATATGTTGTTATCAGTGCCTTGTTATTTCAGAAAGCGGTTCAAATAACTAGTACAATGTGTAAACTATGTATTGATCGATGTGTTTCAGATCCATGGCAATGTAAAATTCAGATTAGTGCATAATATGCAGCTAATATTGTAAATGTATTTTTCAGAAAGCAGTTCAAATAACTAGTCCAATGTATTTTTCAAATTATTGTAAATTTTGTATGTGTTTTGGACCTGTTTATATCATTTGAATTGTAATTTTCAAATTATTAGCTCGTGTATGCATGCCAATGTACAATTAAAACCCGACTTGAGGCCAGACACACAATGACATATCCTGTATTGAATTAAACTTGGACTTCTCAAATACATGATTTCATAAAAGTTCTATTGAGACAAGTATAAAAACACTATTGTTGGGTTAAAAATACATTAAAAAATATTTCAAACAAGTTAGTAGGTTCTACAAATAATTTTAGTGCAAAAGAATATAGCAAGGCACATATTACCAATGCAAGAGAGACCAAGGCATCAAAATGTTGAGTTTTTTACACAATAATAATATTAATAAAAGTTACTCTAATAAAATCAAATCTCTACACAAGAATCATATATATATTAACGGAGATAGTTTTGTAAGTAAAATACAAGTTACTTTAACATATTGAACCAATGGTTAGAAAATTTTTTAATCCTAATAAGTGTTAATGGATAAAAAAATATATATTTGTGTACAAAATTTCTCAAATCATATAAAATTGGACTATTACATATAAAACTAATAATTATATTAATATTATCATATAATTTTAAAAAACATAATAGCCTTTACCAAACAAGTTTCATGTTATTGATTCAAATAATTTGGCAACAAAATAACATCCCAAACGTATTTTGTTTTCAAATTTCTTAAAACGCAAGATGTTACCAAACACGTTTTCAAGTTTCTAGTTCTAAATTCCCCAAAAAAAAAAAAAAAAAAATTCTTTACCAAACATGATTTCAATTTCTACCTAAAACACTCCTATACCAAAACACACTCCTATACCAAAATAGTTGTTTTAGTATCAACTAAAACCATAACGCCTAAAACATATTACATGCCAAACGGGCCCTAAGACAAAGTGAGCTGTACTTTTGCTTCAAACGTAGTAAATCGTTTCATTAGAAACTGCGAAAGTCTCCCTAGTTAAAATAAGTAAAAATTAGATAAAGGAGCAAGTAAAGTCTATTCATTCCATAATTTTAATACAAACTTTCACGTCCATTCCGCATAGCGCAACTCACGCAGTTATTAGAGCCTAAGTTGACTATCATTTCTACCACTACAATTATTTATATATATATATATATATATATATATATATATATATATATATACACATTCTTCTTCAATGTATACAAATTTCCTTTACCCACAATATATATATACATTCTTCTTCAATGTATACAAATTTCCTTTACCCACAATATATCTATATTGTGGGTAAAGGAAATTTGTATACATTGAAGAAGAATGTACAACCAATCTAACTACGCAACAAGCACCACTGCAATATAGTTTAAAAAATTAACTAAGAATTTATCTAACCCCCCAATTAAGCATAAATTGTGACCTACAAGTTATAATTCATACCTTCATTCTTTCCCAAAAAAAAATATATATATATATATATATAAGATATTATGCCAATGTCTATTTACTTGCAACTTGAATAATACGGATGACAAGTGTGTTCACTTTTTGTTACAAAAATAAATGTATTTGCGAAGCTGATATTGGCGTTCCACCAATATCATTTGTCTCTCCAATTTTTTTTTTTTTTCCTTACAATAAAATTACTAAAGAGTCCACATGTAATAGTTTCTTCTTACATGTAAACTCTTTAGTGATTGGGCCATAGCAACAAAAGGCCCAAGCCAAGTAGGTCAGAGCCCAAAAATCAAAGGCCCATGTAGCCACACAAGCAACTCTTTTGTTGCTGTTCTGTAAGTGGTTTTGATGTTGTTGTCACTGTTGTGGAAGTGTTCTTTATATGGTTTTGTTGTTGTTGGAGTGTTAAGAAATTTGGGCCAGGTTTTTATTTATGGGCCTAAAAAGGCTTTAACAAGTTTTTATTAATGGGCCTTAGAGTGAAGTTTGGGCCAGCTTTATTCTTAAAAACAACGAATGAAATTTGGGCTAGCTTGATTATAATATAAAGTCTCAGACCAATGTGCTAGTTTGGGCCAGTTTTAATTAAATTCTAAAATCAGGGCATACTCAGCCCAAACCCCTACAATACCTTCCCTGGATGGGATGGTATTGTAACTAAAATACCGTCTCAAGGCCAAGACGGGAATGGGATGATTGATTTTTAACTGCGTTGAGTTTAGCTAAATCTGTCCGTTGTCATTTCTAATCAAAAGCTTTCACCAGAGCTCAATTTAGGAGCGGTTTCATGCATGTGTGTGAGTGGGTGCACATTAGAGAGAGAGAGAGAAATAATCATATATAAAACACGCCTTATAAAACACAAATTATACAATGACTCCCTTCGGGAGCACAAATTATATATAAAACACACCTTTTTAATTTTTTATTTCTTAAACAAAAGGTAAGAGAGGGTATTGTCACATTTTCACTCCCTTCGGGAGTGAGAGATAAAGCACACCAACCTACAACATTACACTTATGCAATCCTCGTGTGTAACAAATCCTATCAAATGTAAAATAATACACTTTAAGACTAACTAGTCCTTTGTTTTATTGGTAATGACTAATAACCATGTCCCTTTTTACACTTGCTGTTGTCATTTATGGCACTTTGTATAATGGTCAATCCAGTAAATTTTTACTAGGACTTGATCTTTCCCAAAGCAGCTTGGAGAGAGAGAGAATGCTTGAGATCACCAATGTGAAGACTATGTTCACCCATTGGAATTCTTCTAATTCCGAATTGGTCCACAACACTTAAGTGCTTGCATACTTCAATATCAACCCTAACCCTTTGCTGACCTCCACCCACCACATGAACTTTCTCAAACCCTACTAATTGCTTGTTAGGAGCCCATTTTCCAGCGGGAGGGGCCGAGAAAACTAGAAGTGTGTGAGTTCCGTCAATGGCGCCAGTGTTCTTCACGTCAATGTGTACACGTAGTGAAAGTGTGTCACAATTCGTGTGTGTAACTCGTATGGCATTTCTCAACATTGTCGAATTTTCGATCCCATGACTACGTGCGAGGGGTACCGAAATTAGGGTTGGAGCATTGGCTAGGGTGTGCGTGAATGTGGTGTAACTCATCCCGTACCCGAACGGGAACACCACCGAGCCCTTGTAGAACCGGTAGGTTCGGCCGGGGTACCCTTTAGATGGGTTAGCTCGCATGTCCATTATTGTCATTGGCACCTTGGCTACATAGTTTTGGGGATACCATGTCATTGGTAACTTTCCTCCTGAAATATGAAGCATGTGAAAGTATAATTAGATAACATGTTCTCTACTTTAACAAGTCCATTTGGCAGCACATAACCAAAATAATATTTAAGCCCAACGAACTCACCGAGTAGTTGGGCCTTGGCCCAATCAGTCGGTGAATTTTGTGGGCTTTTGTAACAAAGTCCATATTGTAAATATCTAACAAGTACCTGGATTGGTGGTACCAAATAGAACATCTGCAATGGCAGTTCCTCCAGCTTGGCCCGGGTAGCCAGCCCACACTATGGCCGAAATGTGTGGATCATTCTTAGCAAATGAAACATCAATTGGCCCACCGGACATCAAGACCAACACAGTTGGGCCTCTAGAGGCCCTGGCCACCCTAGAAATGAGCTCTTGTTGGTGGCCTGGTAGGAGAAGCCCAGCGCGGTCTCTACCTTCGGCTTCAATCGATTGGTCCAGGCCCATCACTAAGACGGTTGCGTCCGCCTGCCGGGCTGCCGCCTCGGCAACCCCAAATAGCTGGTTCCCATTGCAAGCCACATTAGTGCACCCAGGCTGATGAATTGTCCTAACATATCTTGCTATCCCTACTAAAGGAGTGGTGTAACCACATGCAACACCTATACCAAATAAATGTGACAAAATTAATTAAAATTGGTTCAAATTATGCCTACACACACACATACACACACATATATATGGGTGTCTTACCAGCATAATTTCCTATCATGGTGACGGTAACATCAGAATTGGGCCCAATGACTGCCACAGTGTGGTGGCGAGTGGTAGAAAGTGGGAGTGACCTTCCATTATTTTGAAGCAAGACAATGCCTTGACGGGCTGCCTCGAGGGCCAACTGTTGGTGGGCCGGTGTGCAGATGTCCCTTGGGCCCAAGTTTCCGAATGGCTGCCTAGAGGGCTCCCCGTCAAACATGCCCAGACGCATTTGGACCATAATAGTGTTAGTCAAGGCCCCATTAACGTCGGCCTGGCTCAACTTCCCTTTCTGTATGGCGGCCTCAGTGTGAACTGCAAGGAAAGGCCCACAGTCCAAA